CTTTTTTTCTGTCGAACCCAAAGCGCGCCGCGAGAGTGCCTTGAGTGCCTTGTGTTAACAACAACGAGTATCGAAGAGTGAAAACATMGAACCTAGAGAACCATGTCAGCTCGTTATTGCCGACGCTTGAAAGTTTTTCGAAAATAAACGAAATTTCGACCAGCAGCCCATATTACACAACATCAACTTTAAGCGCATGTGCATGAGAAATTTGTACTAAAATTCATCGTTGTTTTTCTTGTCTTGCAATACAGTCTTGGACTAAGTGGAATTAAAGTAATTATCAAGACCCTTGGCTCTGGATTTCACCTGCCTGTTCCTGGTGTTGTTGAACTGGATTCAGTAAGTTTATTCAAACCAATGCCACTTTCCGTATGTTTTCATCCTTTTGATTGAAAAAATAATATTGGTTATATGTGAATAAATGCTAAAAAGTATTATAAAAATCACGGACCTGTTTATTGAATGGTTCGTCAGTGTTGACCATTGTAAAAAATGCAAATCTTTTTTCGACCAAAAAGAGCGGGAAATACAAGTGGTACGCGCGTCAACTGCAACCGGAAGTACTGCAGTACCGGAAGTACAACWGCTTGAATATTTCTTAACTGCGATTTTCTTTTTACATTTTAAAGGAAGGACAGATGAAAGTCTCGCGCAGGAACGAGTTACTCATAAAGACTTCTGTAGCTGCGGGTTTTGAGGTGATTGACACTCACACTATGACMATTACCAGGTACAAGGAATTCTTGACAGGAAAGTGTGGATGCCATTTYCATAAAGTAAGTGTTGCCATGGCATTTGCAGGGATACCTCACTTTCCAAAATGGACGTATATTAGAGGCTGGTTTGAATGCTGAATATAGGGTGAATTCAGTGAGAATGTTMTGATAATCGGGTGACTGGTTAGAGAGGTTTTCATTAATAATTGCCCTTGTTGTTCCACTCAAAGCTCAACCGCTGTCTCGATTCAAAATAATAGTAATTCGATTAATGCCTTTCAAGATGGTGCTTGGAAGTATGGTCTATAATTATTCACTTCCAACAATTCCCTCCCGCAATTTTACTCATCTAAAAAYCGCCGCAGGAGGTCCAATATGATTTCTTATTATTGTTCCTTATTAGGTAGTTGATCTGAAATCACACTCAAAGGAAGTGGTCGATATCTTACGAGATGAACAAAAGAATGGGCACCCCAGATATCACGTGTTGGGATCTATAAATAGCGCTTATTCAGATATCATGATCAGTAGGATGTGCAGCTGATATACCCACATCGAGCATGCGCCATTCATCTATTCCAGCCATGTCGCGCAAGTTTTGAAATGTGTGGTSTCTATGTTAGGATTCAGCCACGACACTTACAGCAGAGTTATCAACTCTGACTTAAAGTGCTAATGCAACGAAATTTTTCGCCTAATTGTTTTCAAGAATAATAAAATTCATGATTTTCTGGTTATCATGGTTGCATTTTCTTTAAAAATTTTATTGGATGAGAGCATTTCGGTCACGAAAACGGCCACTTTGCGCTCAAAAATGTCCCGATCGATCGTTCGCCTAGGCTCAGTCTCCAGCCGTCGGGATTTCGTGCGCCCGCGATACTCTCTCCCCTGACGGCTGGGCGCATGGGGTTCGAAACGTGTCGCGCATGTCCGTGACGTTTTTGTGTAATTAGCATATTATGACGTAACGGAAGTGAATTTTTCAGTGAACGGAAGTGAAATATCTGACAACAGCCGTAAAGGTTTTGCTACAAGGCKGGAAATTATGTGAAATGAAAACTTCGCGAAGTAGCGATATAATGTAATAGTTAGCGCTTTAAAAAAGAGAAAGGAATGGAAATTACCCCAAGTAAAACATGTGTAGGGTTTAATAATCTAAATGGATGTATTATCTGCCAGAAAAACGAGCAAAATACACTAGTGGCGCTGTTTGAAAAATAAGAGATTTGCCCGAGCCAGTATAGGAAGAATAACAAAGGACATCTTTTCCATAAGAACAATATTTCTCTAAATTCGTCCAAGCTAAACGACTTCAGAGCCTTCAAACAAGCACTTTCAAAGAGAATCTCAAACGACGAATTGTACGCCATTTTGTTACACTGCTGCCTGCTAATTTATTAATGATATGCCCCTGAAAATATCGGATTTGGATTTAGATGAACCTTCTCGACCACAGAAATTACCAAGGTCACAGCTTCTTCTCATTGAATATCTATTGTTCATTCCTACAACATAGCCGCCGGTGTTTTATCTTATGAAACTCATGTTACTTAGAATAAGTACATAAATACATTGTACTTAGAAAAGGAACGTTCTTCATGGCATTCAAATTTACTTTGGTACAACCTGAAAATCATACAACATCCTCATTAATGCCTTTCCAACAAAAGACGTAATTAAACAAAAAGGTAGATACTTAAGTCTCTTGCCATACAATGAGCCAATCATCGCAAAATGCAGTTTGAATTCTTGTTATTTTCCTTGACGGTCCTTGACGACCAAAGGCCAAAACGCGTGTTTTGGCGACTTGGACGATTATATGATTAACTCCAGTTTTTTTTTTAACCCCGGGGGGTACTCCCATATATATTTGCTATACGGGGACGTGCCGCTGGCCAGTGTATGGTTTTTGGCCTTGCTGTCTTAAACAGGGTATACATTTTACCCGAAATTGTCTTAAACAGGCTCTACAATTTAAATAAAAGACCGATATAATTGTGTGTCTTGCATAGGGTAATATTTTCATTAGAAATACCGTAGAAATAGGTGTTTTGCTAATGAAACAAAGGCAAAAACCGAAGTTAGATTACAATCGTGATTTGATTGTGGTATATTGTTCATTGGGCTTAATATATATATAGCCGTACAGTCCGTTCAGTACTGACTCTCAGTTTGGTCGTTGTAACTGCACTACAAACATGAATGCAATCATGAATACCTTTCTTATCGTGACTATGGTATTCCTTCTGGGTGAGTCTGTTCCAGCGGAAGGTAATTTAACGTAATTAATATCGTAATTAATATCGGAACATTTATATTGCGGTGATCGTTTTCAACCATTCCCGAGAGATTCAAAAGATAAAATAACGGCGTCCATGTTGGAGGAATGAACAATAAAATCCTTTGTTAAAGTTCCTCCAAGATGGCCGCTGTGACTTAACCTGCAAGCGAAGAATACTCACTGTCAGTATTCTATTTTAAAGTTTCACTGAGTTATCGTATATTACCGAAAGTCGAAACATAATATATCTGATATATTTTTGAACGCTTGCGCGTCATAATTTCTTAACTTTAATTTACATGAAACATAGTAATGTCCAGTCCTGGACAACGATGCGGTTGCAACTATTGTAAGAGTGGCGGATCCAGGGGGTCTCATGGGTTCCTAGTAATTGCTGAGAAAACCGACTTCATAGTGCAATTAATCTATTAGTTTTGATAGGATTCTCTGATTTGCTTTGTATCATCCAAAATCAACAATAGCTAGTCAGTGGTCGGACAATCAACAGTGTTACCGGGTTATATCAAGCCGTTCTTGTCGGATTTTAATGAAGTTTATATTTGTATAGAGCATGTAGGACCAGCCTCATCAAGCAAGCGTATCGTCAATGGTGCCAATGCTGATGCTCACGAATGGCCATGGCAAGTTTCCCTTCAACAGGATAGCTCAGGTAGCTCACACTTTTGTGGTGGGTCTATTATTGCGACTGAATGGGTATTAACGGCAGCTCATTGCGTTGAATACTATAGAAGATCGCCAGGATCGTTTCAAATAGTAGTTGGTAAGTCAGTCATAGGAGAGTTTGTAGTGGGGGCTTTTAAAATTAATGTTGGTATTTTATTCTTGCAAGCATGCAATATTGAATCTGTTCTTACTAGTAATTGTATGAGGAAGTAGCTGATCAGTGCTCAATACACATAAAGTGTAGAGCTAGTTATATATATAATATCAAAGAGGCAAGATTTTGCTGTAACTCCGAGTTTSGTGCTACGCACTCATCAGACAGTATTTAATCTGTTCTTATAAATGTATTCAAGGTGCACATGATAAAGATCAGAAAACACAACACCAAGAAATTCACTACGCCAAGCAGATATATATTCATACAAGCTGGAATCGCAGACGTCTAAGAGCAGATGTTGCTTTCATCCGACTTACAAAAAAGATATCGCTACACAAGCACGTATCGACAATTCCTCTTCCTCGACAAGGTGACAGGGTCAGTGTTGGAACAAAGTGTTTCGCAACAGGTACGAGGTAACAGTTTATAGTAGCACGGCTGACACAGGAGATAGCTATATTGACTATATTAGTGTCCACAAAAAATGAATTCTGATTGACTACTGTACTATGGTATATTATTATTATAAGCTGATCTTTTGTAAAAAGCTGTGAAATAAGTTTATATCGTAAAGGGCTTATTTAAAGAACTATAAACTACGAACGTCCAAAGATGCTGAGTGGAAAAAGCGCTAATTAGCTCGTATGATCTCTTGTTAAAAATTGGAGTTTTTAAAACCGCGCAAAAAGTTGTTTGAGCAAAATGATGTACATTCGAACAAATCGTAATTTTAGGTTAAGATTTTATAGAAACTTCATCAGTATATCAATTATATTATTAAGAAATGATTCTGAAAATTTTATTACAATTTCTGCGATGAGTTTCGAGAAAATTAATTTTAAAGAAAAATGAAGGTGTTTTTATTTTGCATCGTTTATCCAGATGGCTTCGCTTTTTGGCAAATTAATTTATAAAAAAGAATTCGATAATCGATAATCAGTTTGACTTCAGTGAAAGTTTGAGTGCAATTACATCGAAATTTGCGACGTAGTTGGAGTTTAAAAATACGCTAATATACGCGCGAAACGCTATTTATTACGATCGAAACACCTTAAGCCAATTGATAGAACACGGTCGCATCGAATGAAGCAAAAATAGTCGAAAAATGTCGGAAATTATATCTTAATTGTCTTATTCAAATATTATTTCAAAATAAACWTGCGTGATGAATGTACAGAAATAAAGGGGTGTGTTGTTCTAGGTCCTTTTTATGCACATCTATACGCTCTCATCCGCGCTCCGGTTTGTCTTTGTCTCCTCTCGCAGCCGTTGTGAGGCTCGTTCCCAGGTCACTCCCTTTCTCAGCTCGCGCAATAAACTATTGATAACAGAAGTAAAGCCTTTTAATTTAAACCTTGATTCTAATTGTTCAGGTTGGGGTTACAAGAAGGGAAATGATCATAGCTCACTTGCAAAAGTTCTACAAGAAGCAGATCTAACGATTGCCCCACAACAAAAGTGTGATAATATGTTCACCTCAATCTCTGTCGATAACACAATGGTGTGTGCTGGAGGACAAGGRAAAGGAGCTTGTAGYGGAGATAGTGGGGGACCATTGGCATGCTGGGAGAACGGTCAGTGGGTTTTACGAGGTATTGCGAGTTTTGTGATGGGCCGAAGGTGCTCTGTTCGTCATTACACAGTGTTTGCACGAGTTAGTAGCTTTGTCGACTGGATGCAGAATAAAATGAATAATTACAATTAAGAATGTAATTWCTAAGAATAAAGCATTTCAAACGTATTTGTTTTGTACTGTGTGATCAARTGTCATTCTTTGTTCTGCAGACTWCATGTTTTGATTTAAAAAATTATTTTAGTAAGTCAAGGTGAACTGTCCAAAATGTGTAAAGAGAAAGGTTTCTAGATTCTWAATTATCAATCGCTTTGTCTCATTTGCCATTATGATAAAAAGGCATTAATCACGTAGTCTTTCATTAAAACACTTGTTTGAAAACTTCACCCCATTTTCAATGTGAAAATTAACTTACTAAAATTTCGTGAGTAAAACGTTAAAACAGAGTACCACAGTGAGTCCAGCTCCATATGTATTTTCCGATATTAGTTTACGTTAAGTTGCCTTTCGCTGGAACATACTCTCGCAGAAAGAACACCATAGTCAAGAAAAGAAAGTTCTTCGTCACGTAGAACGTCTGCAGCCSGGGGGCGGGGGAGGGGTGSTACTKGGTGGGGGTGTGCCCCTGAGACCTCAAAACCCTGAMCCTGTTCCAGAGTGAAATCGCTGAAAACTCACCCTGTTCCAGAGTAATTATAAAATCGCTGAAAACGACGATACCCTGGTTGGCGGCACGTCCCAGTATAGCGAATATAGGAGAGTACTGCATATTAGCTACTATTGTATAGAAGAGAGTTTACACTTTTCGATGAATGATGGGTAATCAGGGAAAGATTAATAAGAGGCCGTGGTTAGTTTCAAGTGTTTTAAGTCTCTTTTTATAAAAATATGTWATTCAGAAATTACAAGAAATGGCAGATAGTAGTGAGAGGCAGTGTTTCCTCTAACGTTTTTATCGTCGACCTGGCCATGCACTCATTGCAGTTTTTCACGTACTTTGCATTGATAGGACGGTGGATGGGCAACGGATGATACTGCTCCACATGTGCGTGACCGGAAACTTAGCAAGCGTGACAGACAAAAATTGTGACAGACTCCAGTTCTCCAGTTAGTCCTCTTGTTGCGTACATTGTAAATAGCTGCAGACATGTTATCGGCAGTTTACCTCATTAAACATCTTAAATATTGCCATAACAAGCTACTTAGGTACTTGACATTCTGCCCTCAAATCTGKAAGTTATATATATAACGCAGTAATTTCTTAATAAACATGATTAACACAGCGCCTCGACCTGATGTCAGACCGACCGTTAGACAGACGCGAAAAGTAATCGTTCCATTAGTAACTTATTGACCTACAACGCAGAGGATTTCGACATGAAAAACAACAATCGACAAGATATTGGCTCATCTGAGGTAACTAAAAGAGCGATTGTGCAAACGAGGACTGTATTTGCAGAGATACATAAAGCTGTATTACTTTAATTTAATCGCGCGCGTTTGCTCGTTAAGAATGAAGGGTAGAATTATTAATCTACACTTAATTCGGACTTCTGCAGTGCTCCGTACAAGAGTAAATCATTTCTTTGATTTCCATGGCTCCTTAGAAATCAAAATTAAAGTACGCATTAATTGAGTTCAATTTCCTTAATGGTTTTAGTTTGAAGAAACAAGCACGAGATAWAATTCATGATAAATTCCTACACGACAAAACGATACGCACTTTAGATTGTATTGCGTCGTTTGCTTGAGATCACAAAATAATTTTCAGCGATTTTTACGTGGCCTTAACTGAACGCGATGCTCTTCGTGCTTTCACGCAAGAATCAAGAATTCCCAAAATCTTTTGAATGCACTCTCTTGTATAGCGTTATTGCGTTTATATATCGTTTTATATATCGATCAAGGGTATCGAACATGATCTGGGTGGAATTCCTYATGTTTTTTTATATCACACTATGTTTGAGTTATCTAACTTTGTTTCTTATTCTTCTAAAACTAAGGCAATCGTATTCGACATCGGTTACCTGAAACACWGTTATTTATGAAGATTTTACACCCGTTTACAAAAACGTTGACCTCAACGCGGTCAACGACTTCAGACTTGATAAAAAGTCGGCTATGTTTTACTCCTGGAAATAAAAAGTTCATGAGTTAAAAGTTAGTATGCGTTTGGAGTTCGTTCGCTTTTGAGGGAGGAGTATTGAATTTCGGAGTTTTGATTGACATCCTTAGCAAAAACTCCTAATGGCGTCTCAGCTTGTAGTTTTTTTTACCGTTGGAGATTGCAAATTTGATGAAAATTGTAGTCAACTATAATTTTATCTTATCTTTATAAAGTGATTAACTGAATTGTTATTATTAATATTATTATTATTAATTATTYAATTATTTATTTTGTCTATATAGGATTGATTATCGCGTCACACAAATAGATATCTTTACTAACAATATRAAATCGCATCACCCTGTGGTGAATGTTTTAGGCTCATTATTCTTTACGATATTTTTGTTTTTCCTCGTTATTCATTATTCCCAGTCAATTTTGAACCGTTATCGTTATTCATTATTCAATACTCACCTTCAGACCCCCGATTTTAGGGGGTCCGAAGGTGAATATTGAGCCTTTTTTAATAGTTATTTATATTACTGCGTCTCTAACTCATTCCATAACTAACAAGTAACAACTATTTAGCCAAAGAAAAACCTTACAGATAAAACTAAACATTAAAATTCATGAAAACGAGGTTTAGTGGACATCCTCAGTTTAGGTGCCCGATTGCATATAATATAGATCTGTAAAGATTGTAAAGAAAGTTCGCGGTTAAAAAAAACCCAGATCTTCGTCAGTTGTTCCGTCTTTGAACGTCAGCTTCCCTGTGCTTTTACCTTGGCGCGAAAATGTCAGGAAATGATAAAAAGAAACTCGTGCACAGGTCTTAAATTTATCTATAAAGCATGATATATTACCCGTTCTCAGAARCCTCTGACATGCTAAATAAGTACATTAATTTCCGTTGCGTTTATGGAACATATTTTAGTTAGATGTGAGTGTTTACATCCTCTGCATTTGATAGTGTTGATGTTTTCTTTTATAGTGTTATTTGTTTTGGGTTTTTTTTTTTGATTGTGTAGTAGTCTAAACAAACTATAGTTAATCATTCCTGTGTGAAAACGTTTTAAATCGCATTTATTAATAAAAATACTGAATTTATTATATTCATACGAACTGTRATCGAGCAAACTATTTGTCATGTTCTTATTTCATAATGACGTCACAGCGGATATATTAATACACCAAAGAAAAGATTTCATTTCAAGAACATGTATGTAAATTATTCAAACCACGTGACCGTGTGTGACTTTGAACTTTGCAGTAAAAAAGGTCAGAAAACCACGTTCAGATTGTTGTACATGTATTACTTTATTAACCTGTAGAAGTTGAATACGTGCCTGGATCTATAATTGCAACAACCACTGGATTTGTTGTCTTTGTAGTCATGTGACTGAAAACCAAGACCGTACATTTCGTCATAGCAGAAACCTACGTTATGGCCATATTTGGAAAATTCCGCCATTGGATAAAAGATATAAGGCCAGTTCTGTGGTTGAATAGGGTAAATTGAATTGTTCCAAATAAGGAAATGAGATGCAAATTAGAATATTRATTCCAACGGATGGCACGGCGCTACACGTTTCACAAGTCCCTTATAGGTTTCTGGTCATAGCCGACATGCTGGGATGGAAATAACAATGCATTCCTCGCTGGTCTCTCTTGTTCATTCATCCAACATCGTGGCGCTGTAATTTGTTCTTTTTTTCTTGAGGAATTCATGGTAAATTTAGTTTCCCCCGAAGCTATTTTCAATGTCACGCTGCTTTTCCCTCCTCCTTGCACACACGTACGTACTGCACGTGCATTTTAGTTTATTCATATATTTTAGAATGTTTGATCATTAGGTTATAATTGATACTTAAAATAAAAATAACGTAACTTTTGCTTTACCGTATAGTAAGAAGAATTCAATTAGATACAGACTCTTTTAGTTCCTTGTATGCAAATTGCACCCACACGTGATAAACCATYCATCTTAGTTTATTCATTCTAGAATGTTCGATCGTTTGGTTAATTGATACTGATGGTTGCTACTCGATTCAAAATAACGTAAAAATAACAAAAACMGTTTTGCTTTATCGTATAGTAAGAAGGATTTAATTAAGTACCGATTCTTTTAGTCCTTTTCTTGCAAATTGCGCAACTTGGATCTTATGAAATCATTTCGGCTTTCGAATAGTCCTTTCTTTCCAAGATTRTCATCACGTGATCTAAACTACGAGGGAAACAAGCAACGAAGCTATTATTTTCTGTGTCTGAACACAATTGCCTTATTTCATAATGACGTCATTTGACACATGACGTATATCAAAACACGATACATTTAAGTTCGACTTTCCTGCTTTCGGAGAGAATGCAAATGGTTCCAAATTCCCACTCTTTTTGAGTATGTAAACATACTGTGA